CCCCAAAACCCCAAAACCCCAAAACCCCAAAACCCCAAAACCCCAAAACCCCTGTCTTAGAATTATTTATTGAAAATGAATTTGAAACTGGACAGCAAGAATATGAATTCTGGTTTTGAGAGGTTCAAATGCCCTGTTGAGAGCATTCCAATAATTTCACGTAAGACAGAGTATAAGTAAGAGACTTTTTCGATGGTTTTGGTAAAATTTTGACCAAATTTCATTAAATTTTAGGTAAAAAGTTCAAGCGGAAGCTCAAGAATTCATGGTGTAGTGTTCAGAAATCAGGTAACGTCTCTAGGAGTGATCATTCTCTGATGCTCAACAAAAGTCGCCAGCAGAGAAGATCAAGTGTTTATCGTTGCAGAAATCATAATTATCAGAACTACCTGAATAAGTCCCAGTATCTGGTCAGAAAAACGCCTGACCGAGGGAGGAGTGATGCTTGAAGAATAGGTAAGAACTGTGATAGCCCTTAGAGTCCCTAAATGTTTCCTAGTGGCCTAATTCACTTTTCTAAATTTAGAGTTCAACATCTCTAAGCTGCCGAAATTTGAGGAGGACCGACAACACAGCGGGTTGTACTGTTTCAGACAGGAAAATCATGTTAAAAAGTAAGGCTGGCCTAACCTATAGAGGGCCTAAAGCTCAAGCCGAGATTATCAGAAGTCTTAAATAACTCCTTGGTGAAATACTCCCGAGCCAAGAAGGTCAGGCAGGACCTTCAGAAATAAGATCTTGCTGCGGAAACTGTTCAAAAAGAAGTACAGGATTGCTAGCAAGAAGGTTCTTAATAAGTATTCCTCAACATCGAATCTGGAGAAAGCCAAGCTCAAGCGGCTCGAGGATGGTCTAATCACTCAGTTTAATAAGGAGCGTAATAATGAAGCTGCTCTGAAGATACAAAAATGGTGTAGGAAAGCGGTTATGAGGAAGAAGAATCAAGAGGATCAGAAAGAACTCACACAAGCTGCTATGGTTGTGCAAAGAGCTTGGAAAAAGCGCAGAGAGAAGAGGTTATAGGGGTTTAGTACAGAATTTAAAACTCTACTTTATTCGTGTTCAACATTTTAGTTTTGATGAGGGGTTTTGGGGTTTTGGGGTTTTGGGGTTTTGGGG